ATATTTGTTTAAAGGAGGTGTATTTTTAACGTTATTTTATTTAAAGGTACATCCGTCCACCAACGTGTACTTTTTAGATTTTTCAAGGACCTTCACACCACTAAAGACGGTCAATTTAAAGACGTTTATTATTTTTAAGAAAAGGCAGACAACAAATTAGTGATTTTTTAAAGAATATCTTATTCAAGGATTGTGGATTTTTAAAATTGTGATTTTTAGGGATCATCGGAACCCTCAACGTTGATTTTTGCGAGAATATTTTTAAGGACTAACAGACCAATAATCTGGATTTTTCAAATCACATTTCCAAGGACAAACAGACTTCCAAACATGGATGTTCTAAAGAATAAGTTTTAAAGGAACCTTCAAACACGAACAAATAAAACAGCAGCTAAGTTCTATTTACTTTTTATACCCTCCACCATTGGGAAGGAAATATGTATGCGATATCGTTAACCTATATAGACAGTTCTATTTCAGGGGATAAAATATTCATAAGGAACTCTTGTGTGGATTTTAAACAATTCCATTGAAAATTGAATCGAATATCGGAAGGTATCGTTATATGGCGGCTATGCGAAAACTTGGACTTGCATTGAAAAATTTCCATTGCAAACATTCAAATAAGAAATTTGAAAAAAATCCGGTGAATACTGTCACTAAAATTATTAAAATACCGAATATCGGGTGTACCATTGAATGGAGGGTATGCGATGTCGTGGACCTATATAGACTGTTCTATTTCATGGGGTACAGTACACAGAAGGAACTCCTTGTGTGGATTTTCAGATAATTCCAATAAGAAATTTGGCTACAATCACCAAAATACAGAATATGGGAAGGTGCCGTTATATACGCTATCATGAACCTATATAGATAAATCTCTTCCAGGGCATAAACTACCCCTAAAGAATTCCTTGTGTAGAAGTTCTGAGAATTCCACTGAAAAATATGGCAAAAATCATCAAAATGCCGAATATAGGAGGGTACCGTTGTATGGGCGCTATACGATATCGTGGATCGATATAGCCCATCTTCGAACTTGACCTGTCTGCAGACAAATGACTGATATGTGCAAAAATTTAGCTTCCTAACTTAATTCGTTTTAACGCCACAGCGATTACAACAGACGGACGGACGGCCAGGACCAAATCGTCTTAGAATTTTACGCTGATAAAAAAAACAGGTGAGATAAAAAAAAATGCAACTTCAGACTGCTGTAATTTCTAAGAGACTAGTCAGACAGCTTTTAAAATTATTCCACTGACAGCTCATTATATTGTTTACAAGCGTACAAAAGCATTTTGGTGAGAATCTTACAGAAAAGTTATTCGTGATGGAATTCAAGCGTGATAGTGTGATTTCTTTATATTTGGCTGGAAAACCACAAGTTGCTATCATTAGAGCACTCCAGCATTTAAATGTGAATAAATCTTATGTGTCTCGTACCATTGCTCGTTACCGATAGCGTAGCCCGACGTCAAAGAAGTGGACGGAAGAAAACAGAAACATCAGCAGAAATGGTTCTAAATATAAAGAAGCGAATTGATCGAAACCCGCGTCGCAGTGGCCGAAGAATGGCTCGTGAGCTGAACATACCGCAAAATTTCCTTCGGCAAATATTGAAAAATAAGCTCGGGGTAAAGCCATTGAAATTCTAAAAAGTGAAAGAACTTACACCGCAACAAAAAGAAAATAGCCTCAAAAGAGCTAAAAAATTGCATCGCTTCGCCGAAAGTGGAGAACTGCCGAATTTGGTTTTCTCCAATGAGGAAACATTCGTTGTCCAGCAGTTTGTAAACAAACAAAATGATCGTGTTTACTTGTCAAAGAGGTCAGCTGAAAATGTGCACCTTCGGTTGGATACCAGTACTCAAGCGCCGGCCATGGTGATGGTGTGGGCCGCCATAACAGCCGATGGTCGCTCTCCGCTCGTATTAATCGAATAAATGCCGAATATTATCGCGAAAATATTCTGGAGGGTGTATTAAAGCCATGGGCAGCCAAACATTTTGGCCTCAGGACCTTGAACATTCCAACAGGACTCAGCACCATCGCACTCAGCTCGTGCCAACCAAGAACGGTTACAAAATGAGATTCCTAGCTTCAGTTCTATTGGCCACTAAAATTTCCGGATGCCAATCCGTTGGGCTATTGAGTCTGGAGTATTTTGGAAAGCAAGGTTGGCACTAAAAAATACCATAGCGTCGATCACCTCAAGCAACCCCTACGTCGGGAATGGGCCAAAATACCGCAGAGCAACATTCGAGCAGCGTTTGACGGTTTCATTGAAAGCCATAATTCGTGCCAAAGGTGACCAATTCGAACAAATCTAAACTTATTCCAATATGTGATGCTATTTCCGACATTTTTTGATTTCCTTCAATAAAATTAAAAAAAAAATGTAAAAATTATGGCGTTTGGCTTTGTTGCAGTTTTGTTTTCTCACCCTGTATATTCTTAATCAGTGTAAAATTCAATGTCGAATTAGCGATATCCGTCCGTTCGCTTATCTGGCCATCTGTGGAAATCACTCTAGCTTCCGAACGAATTGAAAATTGCTGATTGATACAATTTTACTCAGATGTGTGATAGGACTGCGGGACTTTTGATATTGAAAATGGACTATATAGGTCCATGTTTTGATATAACCCCTACATAACTGTTTTTCCAGATATTTTGAAATTTGATGATTTATGTCACACTTATTACTGGATATATTTCCAAGTTGGAATTTGATGTTCCTAATGGGTACTGCCTCCTATGGCAAAACAGTTTTCAAAGAGGTCCGCGTTTTTGTATAGCCCCCATATAACGATACCTCCCTATATTCGGCATTTTGATGATTTTAGCGACATTATTCACCGGAATTGTTTCGTATGTGAATATCGTAATGGTCTATGACAAAAATTGCATATACATGTCTACGTCTTCCTATAGGTCCCAATATAACTCCCTATACTCGTTTTTATGATTTTAGCAGTATTTTTTCAACGGAATTTTCTATTTGAAAATTTACAATTTCGTTCCAAATGGTGGAGGGTATTCAAAGTTCGACCCGGCCGAACTTACTGCTTTTTCACTACTTTCATAATCTTCTGGATTTTCCCCATAATTATTGGAAAATGTTAAAATTTGTTGCACAGTGTAATCAAGGTTTTTTAAAAATCATAAATTCTACCAAGATAGTCTCGTAATAGGTTCTTATTAAAACAAATATATTTTTTGTTGCAAAATAGTCAGGCTTAATACCATCATTGTTGTTTTTTGCAAAAACAAAATACTACGGTATCCCGAACAAACATGCCAACACTGTTCTTTTTTATACCCTACACCACAAGGTGGTCAGGGTATTATGTCTTTGTGCATTTGTTTGTAACAGGCAAAAGGAAACGAGATAGACCCATAGTTCCTTTTGATGATCTGCATAGAATCACATCCTGATTCGATTTATGCATGTCCGTCCGTCCGTCTGTCCATGTATTTTTGTAAACAAAGTACAGTTCGCATTTATTGCCCTATCCAGATGAAATTTTGCACAAATCGTTTGTTTGTCCCAAGGACGAACCCTACTGAAATTGGAGATAATATATATCTTCGTCCGATTTGCCTTTTATTGTGCACCAAACCTGAAAATAAGTATCCTAAATTTGATCGAAATCGGTTCAGATATAGCTATGGCTCCCATATATATTGTTCATCTGACATGTTATTTTTGTCCTCCGCAGCCGTAATATGCACTCTGTAACAAGAATATTTGGGGAAATATATCAAAAACAGTTCAGTTCAGTTCCGATTTGGATATAGCTCCCATATATATTTTTATCCGATTTCAAATTAATTGTGCACCAAATGGGCAGTACACCTCCGAATTTAAAAGATACAAATGCTTCGGCATATTTAGTCCTTTGAACTTTAAATTATAAGCCCACCTTCATTTTACATTCACCACTAGCCATTCAGCCACACACACACACACTATGTATGCATATGGATGTGTGGTGTGGCCGTCAAATTGCCTGTTAATGAAATTTAACAGATTGCAGTGAAATTGTTTTTAATAGAATCAACTTAAAAAAATAATTGCATTGCTTCTGTCCTCCTCCCCCGTCCGGTTCGTCCTGTTAATCTTGTTTGGATTGTCAATGAAAACGATGAAAATGTAAATCATTAAATTGGGAGGAGGAGGTCCGAGGACAGGGGAGGGGGTCACTTTACTATGCCAATGGCATCAATGAATTTTTTTCCGACTCAAGGCAATTGTAGGACATTTTGTTAGAATGAAAAAAAAAAACAAAAATTTTCATGTTCTAGACAACATTTATGGCTGGTGATGTCGCATATTTAAATAAAAGCAAAAATAATAATAAAAACTCAAACAACACCAACAAAAATACATAAGTTAATTTATTGTATAATTTTATGATGGGTCTTCCACGAATATCCAACCATGGCAAGAATGACATAAAAGCTCTTTAGCAGGGATTTGCTGCTTAGTAATAGACTGTCATGTACAGCAGCAATGACAACGACAACAACAACAACGGGAACAACAAATTTGGTCTTTTGGTGATGATAATGCAAAAAATCGTTTTTTTTCTGTGTCTGGCGCTAAAATGTTGTCTTCTTTTATGTCGCCAAACGATAGAAACAATGGCTGAATAAAGAAATTTGTGAATGTCTTTTTTGTTGTAGCGCCGTGCATGTCAACAGCTATGACAATAATGAAGACAATGGCGAGGTAAGCGATAGTGATGCTCTTGTTGCGGTTGCCTTGGCTATAAGTAGAGACTCGCACACATGCCCTCTCACCCTCATCGACGCCCCTCTCCCCCCTCAATGTACACAAAAGATTTTTCCATTTTAAGCAGATTGTCTTCTTAGGTATGTGTGTGTGTATGTTGGTATGCAAAGTTAGGTGGATGGGTGCCCTCTGGACTCTTTGGAGGATTCCATGGTTTTTGTTTTTCAGTTTTTTTTTTTTTTTTTCGAATACATACCCCATTGAAATTGCGATTTATCGGTGTGCAAGGATACCACCGGTATACCCGGAACTATGATTGCAGGCAATGTTCGCGAACGCAACAATGGTGGTGGTACTTTGCCACGGCCAGAACGTCCTTGTTGATTGTTGAGTGCAGCATTTAAGGCTTGAGCTCTGCAAGGATGAGAACAGAGAAAACAACGAAAATATTTAATATTATTTTAAGAATTTTTTATGGCTTCAAATATAGCACAAAAATTTTGTAATATTTTCAATCTATGTATTTTCCAATATATACATATGTATATACACACATATATATACATATATTTAAACGAGTAATGAAACATCTGAATGACTGACCCAGAATGAAAGCCCAGACAGAACTTCTGAAGCAAAAATCTTTAAAATTTGCAAAGTTTCAAAATTCTAGCTTCAATCGTCGTCTGGACTGGATTTTGAAAATTCGTACTAAAATGGTACGGATGGCACTAAAATGTACTAAAAATATAATACTTTATATCGGACAAACGGAATGAGCTTGTCATTTGGAATGAGAGTCACTGATGGAGTTCAGGATAGATGCACAAAAGGGGCTTTGGAAACTCGAACTTTAAGTATACAAAAAGTTCTGAAATGGTACTAAACTTCAAGAACGGTACTATTTGGTATTATGAAAACGGATGCGGCTAAAAAAATTTAAATTTTGTAAGAGAATCAATACTGCACTACAAGTACAGTATTAATATTTGCCCTCGAGGGCAATTCCCATGAACGTCGTTTCTCCCTTTTTATACCCTACACCACAAGGTTGTCAGGGTATTATGTCTTTGTGCCTTTGTTGGTAACAGGCAGAAGGAAACGAGATAGACCCATAGTTCCTTTTGATGATCTGCATAGAATCACATTCTGAGTCAATTTATGCATGTCCGTCCGTCCAGATGAAATTTTGCAGAGATCATTTGTTTGGCCCAAGGACGAACCCTATTGAAATTGGGAATAATCGGTCAAAATTAAGATATAGCTCCCATATATATCTTCGTCCGATTTGTCTTTTATTGTGCACCAAACGTGTAATATCAGCCCGAATTGTATGGAATGTTGCATATACGCCCAAATTAGGCCTGAAAATATGTATGCCAAATTTGATCGAAATCGGTTCAGATATAGCTATAGCTCCCATATACATTGTTCATCCGATTTGTTATTTTTGTCCATCGCCGCCATAATATCTACTCTGCAAAAACAATATTTGGGAAAATATATCAAATGCAGCTCAGAAATACATTTGCTAAATTTTATCGAGATCGCTTCAGATTTGGATATAGCTCCCATATATATCTTTATCCGATTTCAAATTAATTGTGCACCAAATGGGCAATAAATGTCCGAAAAGATACAAATGCTTCGGCATATTTAGCCCTTTGAACTTTAAGTTATAATTATAATCATAGCGTGTATGATAGAATTCTCCCATAAAAACTTTTAAGTGTTATGTGGAGCTCTACTAAATTAGCAAAGTGGTGTAGGGTACCATAAAGTCGGCACCACCCGATTTTAAGACTTTCTTTACTGGTTTTGTACTGGCAATGCCATATCATTGGTTCTTTTTTGATCAATGTTTTCCTGCTCTCTTGCTCTCTGAGTAAAAAAGGAGGAACAATTGGATGAGGAAAAGAAGAAGAATAGTCTTCTATTAGATTTTTTAATTGTTTTGCGACATTTGACCAAGAAGGTCGTTAAAGTAAAATTGTGCCCCCAATAATTGTGGAAACAAAATAAAAAACTGAAGTCAGAAAATTTGTGCGTTTGATTTCGAAGCGAGGATCGACACAGTGGTAGCGTTTCGTCTTCAGAAAAAGAAAAGAAACTGCAAAGGAACCCTTGCCCAAGTAGGAGCATTTACCCGAACCAGAAGTGCAGGTAACCAGTCGATCAGGGAAACTGACTTCGTGGTGACCGACAGTAGCTAAATTGTCTAGTCCCGTCAACAGTTGGGAAGCATGTTTGATATATGAAGGTGGTTTTGCAAATATGTCTTAAGTGTGTGAACTGTACTAAATAGTACTATGTTTGGTACAATTTAGTATTGGGTGATTGGATGAAGCTGAAATTTTGAAATTTTTTATTGTGGTCCCTGTAGGTGGTTGATTTGTATTAAAGAGGTGGCTGTGGAATTGTGTGCTCCAAGTGCACGAAAAGTACTACATAGTACTATATTTGGTACAAATTGGTATTGGGTGAACAGATGTTGCTTGAGATCTGAAATTTGATGTCACGGTCGTTTTCCATATGTAGCCTGGACATATGGAGGTGGTGTCAAAAATGTGTACCATAATTGAATTAAAAGTACTAAATGGTACTACATTTGGTACTGGGTGAATGGATGGGCTGGAATATTCAAATTTAACATTGAGGTTTTTGCGTAACAGGAACTGAGATTTGGCGGTGTTTTGGAAAAGCGTCCTATATTTGTACCAAAAGTACTGAATATTACTTAAGTTTTGCATTGGGTGAAGGAATAAAGCTGAAATCTCGAGATTTAATATTGAGGTCTCTGTTGGTATGTTGGAAGGGATTTTCGATGTGTGTACTAGAGTAGTACGAAAAGTATAAATAGTAACAAAATTGGTATTTGGTGAAGAGATAGGGCTGGATTCTATAAATATGATACTGAGGTATCTGTTGGTAACAGAAATTGAGATATGGAAGTGTGTACTATAGTAGTACGAAAAGTACTAAATAGTAGTAAAATTGGTATTGGGTGAAGATTTAGGGCTGTATTCTTTAAATTTGACATTGGGATCTCTGTTGGTATCTGAAATTGAGAAATGGATGAGGTTTTGGAAATGTGTACTTTAATTGTTCGAAAAGTATTACATAGTACGAAATTTAGTAATGGGTGAATGGATGGGCTGCAATGTTAAAATTTAATATTGACGTCATTTTTGGTATCAGGAACTGAGATTTGGCAGGTAGTTTGGAAAAGCGTCCTATATTTGTACGAAAATACTAGATAGGACTAAATTTGGTATTGGGTGAAGGAATAGAGCTAATATTGAGGTATCTCTTGGTATATTGGATCAAGAAATGGAAGTGGTTTTGGAAATGTGTACTATAATCGTGTAAAAAGTACTAAATAGTTCTAAAATTGGGATTGGCTGAAGAGATGGGTCTGCATTTGTTAAATTTGATATTGAGATCTCTGTTGGAACCAAAAAATTTAGAAATTTGACGATGGACGATTGGAAATGCGTCCTTTATTTGTATTAAATGGTACTAAGTTTAGGTAAAGGGATAGAGCTGGAATCCTCATATTTTTTTATTAAGGTCTCTGCTGGTAGCTAGGATTGAGATATGGAAGTGGTTTGGAAATGTGTACTATAATTTTACGAAATGTGTTAAGAAGTACTAAATTTCTTATAAGGTGAAGAAATAGAGCAGAACCCCTGGAATTAGATGTTGTTGTTGTTGTTGTAGTTGTTGTAGCAGCAGTACATGTATGTGTTTGCATTCTGCTAATCTGGTTTAGGCTCCAGTTATAAAAATTCGGCTACTTTAATGGGCTGTATCCAGAGATATTCTGGAGTGAGATATTCTGGGTAGGTTTGGCCGTGCAATTAAGGAGATGCAGCATATTGTGCGGGCCTTCAGCTGCAATGAATGGAGAGTGGACTCCGAGGACGGCATTCATTTTGTAACTGCTAATAGCATTCGCGACTGCTTCGGTATGAATGACACTCAGATTTGCCTGATAGGCTTCTTGATCAGGAGGTTCTCTCTTATAACGTTGGACCTCGCTCTCTAGATCGTTTATGTCCTTCCTGACACGCCTGTGTGGGGGAGTTGTATCCACCATATGATGGTTGGGATGACTCATGTAGATGGTCCACTGGTGTCATATGAAGGCACCCTGTCACAATTCTCAGGGCAGAATTTTGGCGCATCTGGGGGAATTCGATGTGAATGTAAATGTTGGTGTCTGTGGTTGAGAGCGGGAACTGAGTGGTACTAAATTTGGTACTTGGAGAAATTGCAGAGCTAACATTTAATATTTAGGTCACTGTTGGTACCTGCGGTTAAGATATTAAGATTGTTGTACTAAAATTGTTCGAAAAGTACTAATGGCTTCTACATTTTGGTATTGGGTGTAGGGATAGAGATGAAATCATGAAATTTGATATTGAGGTCACTAGTGGCTTTCAGGGGTTACATATAGAGAGACGTTGAAATATTTTTGGACAGAAACAAGTAAAAAAGCTGTAAGTTCGACCGGGCCGGATTTTGAATACCCTCCACCATTTGGAATGAATTTGGCAATTTTCAAAAAAAAAAAAAATAAATAAATAAAATCCGTTAAAAATTCTGTTAAAATCTTAAAAATACCGAATGTAGCCGTTATATTAGGGTCTATACGACGACGTGGACCTGCATCATCAGAATCATAAAAACCTGCAGAGACAATTTTCTGTCATAGGCTGTAGTATGCATTACGAACTCCAAATACCATATTTGAAACAATTCCGATGAATAATGTCGCTAAAATCTTCAAAGTACCGAATATCGGTAGGTACCGTTAACGTGGACCTACATTGCCCATTTTCAATACCAAAAGTCTTGCAGACATAATATACATTTAAATTAAATTTTATCAACCTACTTCATTTCGTTCGGAAACTAGAGAGATTTCCACAGGCGGACGGACATCGCTAAATCGGCATAGCATTTTTATGCTGATCAAGAATATGTTTATATTTTGTGGGGTCTTAAATGTATATTTTGGGGTTTTACAAACGGAATGACAAACTCAATATACCCTCCATACTATGATGGAGGGTATAAAAATGGAAGTGGGTCCATTGTGTCCATTTGAAGACTTTTTGGTGAAGAGGGAAAATATTTTGCCATTATTCCTTCCGAAAAAGAAAAGACTTGAATAATATATAAAACCTTGAAAATCTGAAAATTTAGTAGAAATGTATGAAATACGAACTGTTGGAACTAATTTAAAATTTTAAGTACACTTTTCGCTGATGAAGTTACTATCCATAAAAATCAAAATATCAAAATATCCATAAAAATCTATACATATTGGTTTCTTGAAAATATCCATGAAATCCAAAAGAAGTGTCTTTCAAAATGCATGAGTGGTGGTTTTTCTAAAATATGCATAA